GGTCTTTTCCAACCTTAATGATACTGTGATATAGAGCCTACAGGTTATGCAAGTGAAAATGTAAGTGAAAATATAGCACTCGCAACAACTACATGGCTGCCATGCCACCACAAAGCCACAGTATACCAGGAAGCTGCTTACCCTTCTCGGATTCCTTTTGGTTAGATACTGCATCTTTCAAAGGCTGAATTTCTTCTGAAGTTGTGACATGATCCGTACTTAAAATCTCATGGCTAATACTAGACGAGAGTCTTGAAGATCGTCTCCTGATCTGGTCTCTTTCAGGGTTATCTGAAGAGTTCTTCAATTTTTCCTGAGCTGGAACAGACAAATTTATGGTACCACGCAGTTTTGCTCACATGCAAACTTTAAAGACCTCCCTTCCCTGTGAGAGTTTGAAAGTGTCATTTTTAAGGACTGAGGTTAATAGCAAGAGCCTAATCAGCCCTGGCGATTAGACCTCTCTGTAAAAGCTACAATCATGTAACAGCTATAAATAAGCATAAAAACAGAACAAAAGCCTATCTTATAGGTGTCTCAACTGTTTCTTTTTGTGACAGGTTTGAAGTAAACAGCAACTGTCCCACAGAAATAAGTAATACCAGAAGTTAGATGAGACAATTCTGACGCACAGTTTTGACCCCAAGCTGGATAATGTATGCACACTGAAGTTTTAAGTGGTCCTAAGGAAGGGAGAGACAGCCTTCTTCAGATCTTCATCTCCTTGTTCATGATACTACTACAGAGAATAATTTTCTTTCCTCATCATCACAGTCAAGTTCTTCAACATCACTATACAGTACACCAAGATAAAGTAAAGGCTATCAGACAGCAGTGACATGAATATTCATCTAGTATTAAAGTTTATTTGCTAAGCAATGTGGTAGATCTTCCATCTAGTAACTAAAGAGTTTCTACAACTAGAAAAAGGCTGTTATAACCTTCTACATATTGGAGGCAACATAATCACTGCCTCCCCTGTATCTATGAACTTCTGCATCAAGACTCACGGTTTGTGGCTCCTTCATCGAAACCCAGCTTACAAGATTTAAGAGGGAATTTCAGCATGATGATGCTACATATGAATGGCCAATTTAAGAAAAACAGGTGCTGCATTTCAGCCATTTCATGTATCACAGTTCAAGGTTCATACTACAGAGTTTTTCCCCCCTCCGCTTAAGCTTCAAGAACTTTTATGTACAAATACTGTGAGAGTTGAATACCAAAAAAATACTCACACAAGTTTTTTTCAATTCTGGGACGCTTTGATGGAACTTCACCTCCTTTAGGTATTTTCCGACGTCTTAACTCCAAAGTTATGGGCTGCAACGTTTGAGAACTTGGCTCTACATATTTAGATAGAAAACAAAAATGGATTGGATATGAAGCTGCACAACTCTTTAAAACATAAATTCCCAAGCCTCACAACTTAAAATACTGGACTTGCATAAATACAGTTTCACTTTGCTTTCTGAAGTCTACATATTAGCATTTAATCCTACTGCAGACATGTTTAATAATATATGAAGATGACTTGCCTACATCTAATTTCTGACCAAACCACGGAAGCTCAAAACCTGACTAACAAGTATGCTGTCAGCTGTCCTAACCAAGCCTGAACAAAGATGAGTTTTAATTTTTTTAAAAGTTTCTAGAGATTCAGGCTGTGAAAAAGCAAGATACTTTTCATTTCTTTAGGTATGTTTAGAGGGTTCTGATATATGCCCTAAACGTTTAAGTTTAACTACCTACCTGCTGGAGGCGTTATTGGCGGTCTTCCACGTTTTCGTTTAGTTTCTTTTGCGTTTTCCTGTGGACTCTTTACATTGTCATTCTCAGGCTTCTTCTCAATTTGTGTATCTACTGAATATTCCATATCATTCTCTGATATATTCTCTTTATCTTCTTTTCCATTCTTAGGTATATTCTTTTCTGAGACCTTGCCTTTTTCTGAGATGACTATCAATTTTCCTTCTTTATCAGGTTGTTTAACTCTTTTCTCAGTCTTTAATGTCTTTTCATCCTTGTCTTTCTTTGCATTACCTGTTGCTTTCCTCTGTTCTTTAAATTTCTCCCGTTTTTCAGGAGATGACGGAATTTCATTACCCCTTTCCTTAGGCTTAGCATTACCCACAATATTCTAGAAGAGAGAGAGTGACATACGAACATTAACTTACTGCAATCTGAAAGCCCTCGCCCGACTTTGTATTTAGCAGACTTCCATCTTTGTCCAATTTTTCAAAGGATAAAAGTATATACTCCGTTGCAGCCCACAGATTAAACCTTAGAGGCACTTGACCTGTTCAAGGACCCATGCAGCTTCAACAGGACAATGCAATAGATCCACTCTCTTCACAGCTCAACGGCATAAGAGATTTACTGTTTCGTTCTCATGTGCAGGTTAGGTCCATACTAGCTTGCACAGTGCTACTTAAAGCGTACTTGGGACACTGAAGAAAGAGTGGGAGTCAAGAGCACAGAAAAGGGCAAACAGCTCAACCACTTGGATGCAAAAACTCTCTTGCTTTCACAAAAGTGTCTCATTCAAAACAGACCAATGTTTAGCCTGTAATTATCACTGCTACTGAAATGTGCTAAAGAGTCATGTAAAGCAATTGCAATCACCAATTTCATCAGGAACCACATGATGTTAAAATTTACACATTTAAAAACAAAACTGTAAACTTTGTCTTTCTGTAATTTGTGTTCAGCGTGAGAGGACATGAAAATCTTTAGTAGCCAGATGCAGCAAGCTCCTGATACAATACTCAGCTGTAATCTCATTTCCCCATAGTTCTTACATAATAACATCAAACCAGGAAGAACACACCTATACCAGCAGGTCACTGCTACTCAAGGTCTCTTCTGTTTTGTGATCAGGTTTCATATTAACACCACCTGGGGGAGATGCAGATTTTGATTTTTTTTTCCCCTTCCAGTGATCCCACTACAGGCTGTCCCAGAACTTCTCTGCTCTGATGAACAGAAACCTTCTAACTTTGCACCTGGATTAATAATTTACTTTTGGTCATGCGTCAACACTGTCTTCAGTCAAACTAGCTTCCCTTTTCCTGTTGCCTAATAACTTGAAGCATTAAAGAGCAACCATACTCTTTTCCAGCTATATTTCTGCAAGGCACAAGGTTAAACTTTGAGCAAGGATCAGAGGACAAGAAAGGCTAAATACCTTGATACCTCTTTGAGGAAAGAAAGTAAAACAGCTTATTTGAATTATACAAAATTCTGAGAATACACTTAAGACTCATTATCTCCTTGTACTACACTACATCGTGCCTCTTCCCACCCCAATCTTCCTGTCTATATGTGGACTACATGAACTGGTACCTTTTAAGATTGCCATTTTCGGGCCACGGTCCTATGAAATAATCTTGATGCAGTAAAATAGTCAATGTGCCATCTGCTGCACCCTCCATGATATTATTTCAACCATACTTATCACAGAGGCGACAAAAAAAAAACAACCCTTTTTAAAAATGTGAGATCAAACTGCTCTACGTTTCATGAAAATGGCTAGGCAAAAGGGAAGAAAGTCTTTCACCTTCTCAGGTGTCTGAGCACCACTTTTACTAGACATTATAAAAATCTGTCTTCTGTAATTTCTTAAATGCCACAGCTATAGGAGAAGCTTCAGTGGGAACTCAAACATTAGTAAAAAGAACTCAAAAAAACCCCCCTCACACATTAGGTTTCATCAGTTGTGCTGCTCATAGAACCATCTGATTTGAATCAAGTATGGGGTACTGGAACACACATGAAACATCTTAGATTATTCTCAAGAAACTGAACCATAAATACAGTATGCCTCAATTACCTCTTGATGTAACTGAACTCTTAAAAGCTGTGCGTCCTTGCATAAGTACATTCACATTGTACAGTTCATTAGTATTTTACCATCACTGTTCAATACAGCATGTTAGGCCCTCTACATAGGAACAGAGTGACACTGTCATTAAAGAAAAGATGACCAGCTTACGTTGCTCCCCTCAGAAATCAGGTGGTTTTGGGGCCTTTTTCTTTTTTTTTCTAAGGAACAGCTAAGATATGAGCGATGTGCGTCTTCATGGCTACATCTCTCCTACTCATGAACAGGGACAAGACATTTTCCTTCCACTGCCAGCATGCTGCTACATTAGTGCTGTATCCGAATTCACACCTGACGTAACTTACATTCACAACTGAATCTTGAACTCTCCACTGGCTTGAGTATTTTTTTTAAACTTTACTTCTGATTGTGTAAACAGAGCTAACTAGCATAAAAAAGCATAAAGGGAAAATGTCCTAAAGGACAGAACAAAATGTTCTAGCATAACTCATCTCCCAGGTTAAGAGAAATCTTCCCAGACAGTGGTTAAACAGAGAAGGAAACTTAGCTCCTTTCAAAACCTACCCAAAGCTATGCGGAAACATGAAACTCCCTAAAGGAGAGAAGACAGACAAAGTATTTTGCCTTTCTTATTCAGAATATTTCTTAAGATTATTCAAATTCATGTATTTAAGGTTAAATATGGTAGAAATATTTCTCATGGCAATGAAGATTCTTCAGGTAGCTCCCTTGTGAGTATTAGTCAACCCTCAACCAGGCACAATTATTACCATTTGAAAGCTATTAAGAGCACTTTGTGGCAAATCTGAAATAGTTTTCCCTCCCAGCCTGGCAGATACACAAATGTAGAGACGTCCAAGGAATGGCATGCCTCTTAACAACAGTGACAAATTTAAACTGTACCCCTTACTATTCATTATTGGAATCCGTATTTAAGACTTATGTTAAGGGGAAAGATTAGATTTCTTTGTTTCAAACTTAAACTTCCAGAAAACTAAAAGCAGAAAGCATGACTAAAAACACAGGCTACAACTACAACACAAGAATGTGTGGCAAGATCTCAAACTCAAACAAACCATTTCTGTAATGAAAATTATTCTGAAGCAGGTACTTAAGAAGTTTTAACCAAGTTAACACAGGACTAGAACTTGTCAGCCTTTACTGATGAAGTGCCGGCACATGAAAATTGAAGTACAAAGCAGCACTTCTTCCTTATCTCCATGAGCAGGACAAAATGGGTTTTGGGGTTTTTTTTGTTAAAATGCCTGGCTCACTACTACTTTCCATCATGAGCTGAAGGTTTAACCCACAGCACTGAGCAGGTGAAGGGCTGGTAGAACAACCAAACCATAGAAGTAGAACATGGATTAGTAAAAAACCTTACCTTCTCAAAGTTGTGAGGTAAAAGACTACTGGACAGCTTCCATAGAAGTCTCAAGACAATCAAGTAGTTACTTTGGGAAATAGTTCCTATCCACTCCATAGTTCCCATCTCTTAATTTTTGAGACGCGTTATTTAGATGCATCTCGAACAGGTGAATCAAAAAAGTGTGTTTCAATAACCTACCATTAGCTTTAGTATGTACATTCTGAATATTCCAATGATTTTTAGAAAACTGTTTAATTTCTATGCCTATGATTTCTTCAGTTCAAGAGATGCACTCATGACAACATAAACATGAGAGCTCTGTAAATCATACCATGAAGATTTGCATAACCTTTTCATTTTCACAGAATCATAGAACATTAAGGTTGGAAAAGACCTCCCAAGACAATCAAGTCCAACCGCCAACCCAACACCCCCA